CTGATCAAACCAGCAATAATGTTGTACCTCCAGTCATAAGAACAGTTCAGCCTGGCATGAGAAGACAGTGAAAGAGATAAAATGCAACGACTCAATTCTCTAACCAGGCATTTATCATCAATTTTTGAGGAAGCCACCAAGCAGGAAAAGAATGTCACTAGTTCTTACATGTTTGAGCACAAATGAAGGCCTATCACAAAACGGGAGTTTACTCTTTTGGGTCAGAACCCAAATGATGGTATATTCTAGTGTTTCTCCCAGCTTGTAAAAACTTCTGCTTTACAATGTCCTGGTGCAAACCTGAGCTTTAAAACTGCCAGCTGCAATGAGCAGCCAGCACATTATTATTTGGCTTATTTACTACTGCAGTACAAAATGTTAATGAGAAAGTTTTACAGCACAGTTTTCCCAGTTCTCTTGCAGTTTCTTTTGCCACTTCTCTGTCTCAGTTACTTGTTTTCTTTTTTTCAAAATATGTTCTTCTCCTCTGAAAAATAGCTCTTCTTCTGTAGGCCCTGCTCAGAAAAAAAAAAAAAAAGAGAGATGTAAAATAGTGAATGTGATATGAAACTGGCACTTATTTACTCACTCAAAGATTATATATATGGCTGGGAAGATACCTGAAATGAAGAAATACATATAATATTTTAGGTGCATAAGTTTCCAGGTTTCTAAGAGATAAATTAATGTGAAGATTTTTCTACCATTTCTGGGCCCATAATTCAGCAATCTAAGGTTGTGATGATTTGGTACATAGTTGGTAAATGACATTTCTTGTACAGCTCTGAATAAAAGCTAAATGGTTAAGCATAAGCACCTGTGTTCTAAAATACTCATTCTATATATTCTTTCACATGCTATGAATTTGTATAAGGGCTATGTAGTTATCCTTTAATTCTCCTGAGAAAGGAATAGGTTTGTAGCTCTCAGTTCACTGACAACAGATGGAACTGGGATTAATAGGCAGACAGATTTAATCTCATAACATTTAAGGACATACTGCTTGGATAAATAGAGTAAATCCTTACATGTGAATGTGCCTTTTTGAAATTACCTTCTCTCACTCGTGGACAATGAAGCTGATTTCCTCGAACATCATGGTCCTCTATGTCACACCAGCTGAGATACTTTAAAGAATCAGAAGGAAGCTTAAAAAGGGCAAAATAAAAGGAATCAGTGAAGGCACTGTATTTTCTCACATTTTTGGCCTTATTGCAATAGAAGATTCATACATGTTTACAATGTTTTCTGCCTTCATACCATCTGGTGAACAGCAAAATGATGTATGGAAGTGAAGATACAGTGTCATGCATTTGTGTATTTCATGCAAACACATTTCCAGACAGACTTACATACCACACACCCTGAATGCAACAGAGGCAAGAAACCTAAACACAGAAACACTGCCACTGCAGTTGAGAATGTGAGATTTTTGCCCATTCTCTCTTTCCATTAAAACATGTTCTACAATTTCCAGGGAATCAGTGTCCCAGGAGGGAGCAAGGAACAAAGCCTCTAACTTCATCTGCAGCGGGAGGAGTGGGTGTGATTTGTGTCATGCCCAACAGACACAGCACCATGATTGTCTGCAGAGGGACAACCTGACAAAGCAAAGCAGCGTGGTCATCTGCTCAAAATTCTGACATTTCTTTCACTGGAAACCATGCTAGGGGGGTTGAGGAGGTGGGGAGATGGAGCATGCACCTGAGTCATCTCTTCAGTTAGAGCTGAGCTGTACACAGCCAGAAGCTGGTACATGCTGTGGGGATTCACAGTTTAGGGGTAGTTTATCACAGCCTGTTCTGGCTTATTTCTATGAAGTGGCTCAAATATTGGAGAGAGGTTTTCTCACAGACACAGAATATCTGTATTGTTACCTTTCCTAGCACTCCCAGGATGGAGCAGCAGGATGAATATGTTTTACAGAATTTTTCGTTGCTTGTCAGACCTGAGGAACTAGAGAGGAGATGTTAAAGCAGCAATTGATTTTGTTCAGAGAAATGCAAAATAATAACAGAAGATACAGTGTAACCAGGGATAGGACTCCCCACCAGACAATAACCACATGCTCCTCAGATGAAACCAGAGGCTGGGCAATCCCCTGCAGTCCCTTAGGGGACTGTTTACTCACACACACGAGGCTTTCACAGATACATCCAAACATTAGCAAGAGGAACTTACTGGCAGTTTGTTAGAAAAACTCGGAGAAAATTATAAACTGAACTTGTTCAGCAGCATAATCCTCTTCCACCCTGCTTTTATGGATCCAGGCTGTATGAAAAAGTATCTCAGCTGCATATTTATTTTGATCCCTTGAGTATGTTTCAGTAGAATATCAAGGTTGGTAGGAGTTGAACTTTGCTCAGTAGAGACTTAGTTATGTGCTTCTGTGTTTTGCCAGTTCGTTGACTAAGAACACATTCAGCAGTACATTTTATATACCCCAAATGATGCAATTTCTCCAGTTGTGCTTAGAGAGATTCAATAATTTACAAACTGGCAGCTGCAATTTAGAAATTTACCATGGAATACTTAAAAATAAATAATCTTAACTTGGTGTGTGCACACAGCACTATAATTTGACTTCTAGCATACAAGCTCACTGAAAGCTTGCCAGAAAGTATCAGCTGTCAGTGAACATCATTAAAACAATTACAGTCAGGAGCAGAAATGGAGAATAAAAATGCAGCTTTAAAATGGTCTAGTGAGGATGGTAATGAAAGTTTAATACTGACTGTAACAGACAAGCTAAACAGAACATCAGTTAAAACTGACACTTACAGATTATTGGCAAATAATCACAAAGAGATGCATTTTGTTGACCTTACTAAGATTGTTTTGCCTTTTTTTAAAACAACATCAAAACCCACTATGACATCTTTCCTGGCTTCTGGCTGAAGGTGCACACAAGCTGCAGGGAACAGCACTGACATATGGAACTGCTCCTTCCTTCATGCTTTATGTTTTTTTTAACAGGATCAAACCAGCCACAACAAACTGTAGGTAACTGAAAGGAAGCTGAGCAAGCTCAGCATTTCAGAAAATAACAGCTATCTACTTAGGCATTTTTGGAGGTCAGCTTGAGGCAAACAGACCATTTTCATGTGTGTGTGGTGATACAGATCAGCAGGCATCCACACACACAGCTACCCTGTCTACAGGTTTTCACATTTGGTCAATATTTTAAAAAAAGGTGCTGGGAACTCGTGCTTGTCCCTTTCTTGGGGTTTGTTTGCTTCTGCTTCCTTGTGTGTTAAATGAGGTCTTAGCAGAGAAATAGGTATAAATTCTTCCATATTTCAAAAAAAGGCCTAAAAGTATCCTCAGCTTTGGATGCAAATCATTAGGATGTATTCAAATGACTATAACTGCAAGACTTTCAAAAACCTACCTTCCTCTCAGCTAGATACTACTTCCTCTGCTGAGACATAAATATCCACTCTTAGTCCCTTGAAATTCAGGATTTTAGCTGAACCATTTAACGTGGTAGCTATTCTGAATGTTTGGCAGAAGCCCACTCACAAAATTCTGTATTGGTGACAGAAAATTAAACATACAGTTCCAGAATCAATATGGGATAGATAACACTTCCAATCAGGTGGGCAGTGAGATTTTTATTGGGAAGAGTGACAGAAGGAAACATTTTTCATCTCAAAACTGCCTGATTTTAATAAGCACCAGCTGGACCCTAACATTGTGTCACAGAAGGTTTTTCTGAAGGAGGAAGTACAATGCTGCTTTTCTCTCCTCCTTGCTTTGTTTCCTTTATTTTGCTGCAGAAGTGATGCAAAAGAAATGGCAATGAATGAGGCAGGATGCAATTCCAACCAACTACAGATCACACAATACACGAAAGTAACAAAATTTTCTGCCTTGATTGTGGGGCCCTTCGGCTGGATATGAATCTCCAATGACACCTCTGGGAGCAGCACACTAGATTATGTCAAGCATTAGAGGGAAAAAAATTAGATTCATGATGTCTGTCCAGGCTGACTCATTTCCTCTCACTTAGCCTGCAGTGAGAAATTGGTGGTTATCATAAATCATAGACCTAAATTCTTATGAGTGAGGAATTAATTTCACTAATGGAAACCCTCTGTGGCAATAGCATTCCTCTGTTCTCCCTCTTCCTGGAGTGGGGTGGGGGTATCTGTGCTGGCCTTGTAGCAGAGAGACCTGACTATATTTTAAGAATCCTACAAAACAGGATTGGAAAGCAAACATAAAATTGTAAGGAGGAAAAATCTTGTGTGTGACCAGTTTCTAATTTCTGAGCCTGGCCCTCAGTCTAGTTGTTCTTATCCTGGCTACAGCTTTGCCACTGATAGCAACTCAACAAAATTTCAGAATACTTAAGGCAAAATTAAACATCTACAACTTCCAGCTGGTCAAAATATGATTTGTCCCACCTAGTTGGAGTTGCCAGCCTGCAAAGCCAGGCTTAGCAAATACTGCCTCCAGAGTCAGTGGAGACAAGTGGGTATTTGAAGTATCAGAAAGAAGTAGGACTTCTGATCACTTCAGACAGCTCAAGGAAATAATTCTGTTCACTGTAGCACCACTCAAATACATAATATTGCCATTCCATCTAAATAATTAAACAAGCAAACAAATTGTACTAAGCAATTCTCTGCGAGCACCTTGAACTCTAGAATGCTGCACGTGAGCTCAACAGAGGTAGCCTGGAGTGTGAGGGTAAATGAAAGTCCTTATAGCTAACTCCATGTATTCTATGCATTTTCCTCAGTGGAAATCCCAGTGGGGAAATAAGCAGCTGAAATATTTTGTGAACTAAAAGGAATGAATACAGAACAGCTACTGCATTTTTCAAAACATGATTTCTGAGCTATCAGGCCATATCTTGGGAGATCATGCACCCCTATAGAATACACTGATAACACTCACACTTTATTAAGATGTCAGTGTCAGTTGTGTGTCCATGAAATGGGTTTGCTCCTCCTCCCACTGACATCTTGGCAAAATGTTCTTAGGCAACAAAATGCTGTAGATTTCCTAACTGCACTGCAAGTACACTTGAGTCCAGCTGACTTTAATATCAGAATACATTAAAAGCCCTTAAAATACTTTGAAGAGCTATAGCTGAGCTACTTCTGAACCAGTGAAAGATACTCTGAGTGAAAAACATGTATTATTTTAGATATTTGACCATTAAGAAAAAACTGTCAGTCAAAAGACTCCTTTCTCCTGATACAACCAGCAGCCTTGACAAACAAACATCTTAGACTCCAGAGCAGAGGTTCAGCTTTGCTTCACAGATCACGGCAAATGGAAAGCTCAGTGTAAGGGGAATAAAGGTAAGACTATGAGCAAAATCTTGCAGTTGGGATTTGAAGCAGTAGAGCTATTTATGCTACCTCTTACACATATTCAAAGTCAGAATTTCTCTGGTGCCCACTACAGCTTCATATCTCACCAAATCAGAGCACACACGTGATGGAAAGGTCCTTGTGCTTCTGTGAAGTTGACCTCGGTGGAAGCCTGCTTAGATTGCTGTTCTACAACCAAGGGCTCCAAGCCCTTTCAGTCCTGCTAGTATGGAAGTGAAAAACATGGATGATTCTAAAGGAACTAAACCTGATTAATTGTAAGATCATCTTTAAGAAAAAGAAAATCAAATAACAGAGAAAAGAGTGATAAACCCTCCCAAAGAAAAGGGATCTTACATTTACCTCAGAGCTGCTAGTTTCACCTGGGCTGTAAGAGAGCTAGTTATGGATTTGTCCAAATCACTCATAAAAATACTTGCTTGAATGATACAAACCCCCAGTTATTTATGCTGTCTCAGTCAATTGCACAAGCCAAAGCTGATCAACAGCAACGAGCTGCAGGGCTAACTTACAAAGGCAATTTGTAGAGCTATTTGAAGGAGAGCAAACTCAGAATTCAGGCTGTGCCCTGGTCAAAATGCACACCATTTATGGCTGTGTTGCTTGTCTGCAAACATTTATTATGAAAACTGTCTGAACTTAGAATAGTAGAGGACTTGGACATGGTGTTTCCGTGCTCTATTACCTTTCCATTATTTTGTATAGGAGTTCTATGGGACATTATGCAACACTTTGAAACAGTTCTTTTTGAGCATAATTTAGTGATAAACACACCTGTAAGTTATGGTCACAATGCATCTTTGCTGTTACCTGTACCATCAATTACCTTGCTTTATACATCATAAAATTGCTCTTCTCAAAGACTTCATTAACATAATTAAGTCTTATCACCGTAATTACACATTCCTAGCATATTAATAGCATTCCATGCAGCTCATCATGGATCTAACCTGCAACGATACAAATTCCACTTCTCAATCAATGTGCCTTTCATACATTTTTACAACAAAATACATATTTGAGACAGTAATCTTGTTTTTCAGTAATCAGCCAAAGACATCAAGAAAAAGAAAAACATTTTTCTTCCTGTTTTCATGGCACAACAATCTCCACCAGCAATACAGGTTGGTACATTTAAAAAAGATACTCAATCCTGTAACATTATCTTTGTTGTCAAAGCATGTCAAGCCAGCTGTGAAATGACTACAGTTACTTCTCTTCTTTCACCCTCCTACCTTTCAGACATGTCTTGCTGTTGGGTAAAATCCTCACATCTTGCATAAGGCTATTTGTCTACAGTCAAAGCTTATCTTCCCATCTTTGCCCCTGCATAGAGAGGTAGTTCCAAGTTCTCTGAAGAGAGGTAACCTGCAAGGATCCTGGCTGGGGCTGTATGGATTCCCTGTCTCC